TGGTGGTGGTGGTGGTGATGGTGGTGATGGTGATGGTGGTGATGGTGATGATGGTGGTGGTGATGGTGGTGAGGGTGATGGTGGTGGTGGTGATGGTGGTGGTGGTGATGGTGGTGGTGGTGATGGTGGTGATGGTGATGATGGTGATGGTGATGGTGGTGGTGGTAGTGATGATGATGGTGATGGTGGTGGTGATGGTGGTGATGGTGATGGTATAATACTGGTGATGCTGCTGGTGGTGATAAACATGATGATGAAGAAGGTGATAATGGCTATAGCAAAAAACCACTTTAAGGACCTCCATCCACTTCGCAATTTTTTTCTGTGAGCTCTCAGAGGTAACTCTAACAGCTAAATGACAGGACCTCTCAAGAATAATGGCACAGAGAACTCATGTTTCATGTGATGTCCCTCTACCTGTCTTCCAAAAGCCTCCCATCCTCATCCTCAGTGAAAGGTGGCCTGGAGAGGGTGGTGCAGGCTGGGGACTGGGGAAGGGATGTGGAAATGCTGCCACAGGGCAAAGGACTCAGGATGCCAGGCCTCAGGACAGGCCCACGGGCCCTGGAGAACAGCCAGAAGGGCAGGAGACACTCCCACACCTGGAGGGAAGAATGTGGTGGCACCACCCCGCATGGCCCCAGAAGGCAGGAGACACGTCCTAGCAGGTGGCCTGAGGGGACAGGGACCCCAGCTGCAACAGGAGTGGAAAGAAAGTTAATATACTTCATATATAAATCCTAACTCGGGGCTCAGAGCCCCGAGTCTGCCAGATGAGGAAACGACAAGCCGTGAGGTGAGGTGTGTCGCCCCTGGCAGGGTGGAGGGCTTCAGCCCAGGAGCTCACGCTCCTGACCACTGGACAATCCTGCTTCCCAGCAGAGGCCAGGAGGGCTGGGGTGAGGGGAGGCCCAGGGCCACAGGAGAGAGAAATCCTGGGTCTTCTTTCTCCACAGACTCCTCAGTGCCAGTGTTGTGGCTGAGTGCCAATCACGATGGCCGCCCGTTCCTGCAGGGCTGCAGACCATGCCTGCCTCACAGAGAGCTCCTGCCCTCCCCACTGACCCAGGAGTAAGCACCACTGTTCAATGACGAGGGAGCTGACCCAGGCCCAACCCTCCTTGGCCACTGGGCGGCACGGGCAGGTCTCAGGGACACTGGTGCTCAGACGCCCTCAGCTTTAGAACCACTGCCCAGAACGACAAAAACAAGACCACGGGCCACAGAGACATCCTCTAGCCACGCCAGCCCTCTGCCTTCCTGGGACCAGATGGCTGCAGGAGGCCAGATCCCCAGGAGGTCACAGTGAGTGAGAACAGCAGCCATGCACAGATGGTGCAGCTGAGGGGCCAGGAGCCAGGGGGGCCATGGCCACCGCTCAGGATCCTTCCTCGGGGGTTGGGCAGCCCACAGCTCCCCATGCCCAAGGCCTTGGTCAGCATCTCCCTGTCTCTCCCCAGCTGCCCTGGAAGGCCGGGTTTTGAACACTCCTCCCCAGCAATTACGGAGAACAGCCACATAACACCATGCCTAGGCACGGTGCATAGCCTCTGGAAAGCGGCTACTGTCCACTGCAAAGTCCCTCTTCCTATTGCGGTGGCCCCAGCTAAGTAGCCAGCTAGGGGGCAGGTCTGGGCTCTGAGTAAGTCCCTGAAGCAGCTGGCCCCAAATCTATTCTCACAGCGAAGGCACTGGCCCTGGCTCGCTCTCACCCCCTCGAAGTCCTCCTGCTGCCTCTTCCTTTGAGTTTAGCTAACAGGCCCTGAGGGAAGGTACAGAAGGTTTCAATCCCTCCGAGACTGCCAGCCAGGACCAGCACTGCATGCCACCTTACTCCCTCCCCCAGCTGCTGGAACACCCTGTGTTCCACAGGAGCTTCTGGGAAAAACTCCTGCCGGTGAGCACATCTTGGAGCACAGCGTCCAGTGTGGGAGGAAGGCGGCCAGGGAGGACCCTGTGCTGGGGAGGACCTCTGCACTGGGGAACACTCCTGAGTTGGGGAGGACGCTTGCATCAGGGAGGACTCACAGAGAGGAAGGGGGTGAACCTCTCAGCAGAGAGCAGGTTCCAACACCTCCTGGAGCTGGTCTTGGAGTTCATTTTTTTGGAAGGAACTCCAGGTCAGTCCCTAAACTCTCCCCCACTGACTGCTACCAGACACTCCATGGGGAGGCACACCTCCCTTGTAGGGAAGCCCCGAGCTTCCGGCACGCTCAGCAGAGATGCTGCATTAGCTAACCCCAGCATGCTACAGACACCTGCACATAGAAAGGGACATGAATGGGGCGGGGCAGAAAGCGCCTGTGGGTGGTGGGGGCATCCCCGAGGCACGAGGGCCAGGGAGCACCGAGGGCAGGAGAGCACGGCTGGTGCCGTCCCAGCTTCAGGGCAGCCAGTCTCAGCAGCAAGGCCAGGCTCCATGGCAGGCTCACCAGAGGTTGACCAGGAAGACGTGCTCGATCTCCTGCAGGATCTCCAGCTCCCGGAAGACATTGCGGACCTCGTCCCGCTCAATGCACTGCTGCTTGTTCATGTACTTCATGGCGTACATCTTCTCCGTGTCCCGCTTCTGCACAATGCACACCTGGAGGACACAGGGCTGATCAGCAGGACGCCTGGGATTGCATGGGGACGCCTGAGGATTCACGGGGACACCTGAGGGTGCGTGGGGATGCCTGAGGATTCACGGGGACACCTGAGGGTGCGTGGGGATGCCTGAGGATTCACGGGGACACCTGAGGGTGCGTGGGGATACCTGAGGATTCACGGGGATACCTGACGGTGCGTGGGGATGCCTGGGGACCCACCACAGCCCCTCCACCACCTGGACGTAGCAGATGCTTTCCTTTGCCACATACAGCAACATATTTGTTCCGGGGATTAGGACATGGATGTTTTGGGGACCATGATTTTGCCCCCAGAGGTTCCTGTATTGCTCAGTGTGTGGCCCTGGAGGCACCTGTCTCAGTCACATCGTGGCTCCATGGCTGTTCCTGGAGTCCCCTCCCTGAGACTCAGTCCTGTTGTGAAGCAAAGTGGTGACCCTTCCTCCCTCCCTCCCTCCAGGGGCTTCTGAGAGTCAAACTGTGAGATCACAGGCTAGCCCAGACTAGGAAAGCATGTCTGATTGTGCCAAGCAGTGGCCTGGATGGATCCAGGGGCAGCCCCGGGAGACAGTGGTTTGGTCTGGCGCATGGGCACTAAATGTGGCCTCTCTGGGAAGCTGGCACCAGGCATGGCCTCAGCACCGCCCTGCCTGGTGGGTGGGGAAAGCTGGGCCTGGAGAGGCAGGAAGTGCCCTGTGCTGGGGGCTGCCCAGAGGCATATGTGCTGATTGGGGCTCCTGAAAACACAGCCACACCTGCCAAGGAGTGGGGGCAGCTGCAGGCAGCACAGCAAGAACAGGCAGAGGCTGAGCTTGAACAAGGCTGCCTTGGGAGGGCTGGGCGGGATTTCTCTTGAACTTCCTGCATTTCCTATAACCACGTTTTAAATTATGATGTTGAAAGTCAGTTGAAGGCTTCAGAATGAAAATGAGTGTGAGCTGTGGCAGCCCCCGGCCACCCACTTCAGCCCCAAGGACCCTCTCCTGCTGCTTCCCGCTGCCAACAGGGCAGAGTGGCATGGCTCAGCAGCACGGCCTCCCTTTCACGCACCTGCCCACAGGGAGCAGAGTCCCGTCCTCCAGATGGAAGCCCCAGCCTCACTCCACGCAGGCACAGAAGGAGCAGAGCCTGCCTGCACCTGCCCCAGTGCTCACGCCCTCCTGCACAGGGCCACTGGATGCCCGGGGCAGCAACCACAGGCCCAGAAACCGCTCCAGAAAGGCTGGTTCCTGCCTGGGGCTGGGATAGGACAGGCTGTGAGGCGAACAGGGTAGAAAACCTGACCCCCTACCCTCTGCCCTCAGGAGCCTGGCTTGGGGGCACTGGCTGAGCCTGGGGCTCCTGCTGCTGCTGGGAAGCTGGGCGGGGCTGCTGAGCTCACCTCACACAGGGTCTGCCCGCAGCGGGCGCCCACACCTCTGGCCCAAGGCCCTCTCCGCCAGTCCGAAGCCCCAGGCTTTGTGAGCCGCCCCAGAAAGCTGCCTGCCTGAGTGACCCAACCCTCTCTGGGGTCCCTCTGCCCTGCCTGCTCATGTGGCAGGTCAGCTCTCAGAGGCGATCTCTGGAAGAACACGCCTTCCCTTGGGGTGCTGAACCCCCACAGCCCACTCACCAGGGGACAGGTGCTCCTGGCTTCCCGTGCCCTCTGGGCCCAGCCACAGGGGCAGTGAACACTGAAGGGTGTCTACTCCAGACGGGTCCTCACCCTCCCGCCAGGCAAGCTCACCCAGGACCACCCCCTGCCCCAAGGCTGGGGCCTGGGCTCCGTGTGGGACAGGTCCTTGGCCCTGTGACTGGAGTCTGCTCTCCCGGTCATACACGTCCAGTCACCCGTGGCCAGGGAGCAGGGACAGAAAAGCCGCCTGGGGTCAGGGCCTGGTCTTGTACACCCTGGCTCCTTTGTCTACCACAACAAAGTAGCAGATCCGTTTCCCTCCAGCCTCAGTTTCCCCACCTGTGAAACAAACTGCCATGGATGGTGGCACCATCAGCCACGATCCAAGCCCCTGGCCTGGCCCTGTGGGAGGAGCTGCCCTGGGGAGTAGAGGAGAGGTAGGGTCAGACCCAAGTCTCCCAAGTCTTTGGGCTTTGTGTTCTGGAACATTCTCAGCTCAACTGCAATTCAAGAAAAGTTTGTAAGTCTCTCTATGTGGCAGCACCATGCAAAGTACTGGCAGTGCAGGGTGAGGTGCCACGGTTGCTCCCTGGGACCCTCAGGGGAATGCCTCAACCCCCTGCAGTACACCTGAGTGTGTCCCCAAAAGACATGCCCACACTCACAGGCCACCAGGAGCCTTGGAATGTGGCCTTACTGGGAATAAGTCTTTGAAGGTATAATTGAGGATCTGGAGGTCTTGAATCAGGATGGGCCCTAATGCCAACCACAGGCATCCTTGCAAGAGACAGAAAAGAGATGACACAGACATGGGGTTGAGGTGTGTGAAGGTGGAGCAGAGCCAGTGGTGAGAAGATGCCAGTCTGGGGATGGGGGATGGAGTGACGCAGCTGCAAGCTGAGGACACCAGGAGTGGCCAGCAGCTCCCGGACACCAGGAGAGGCACAGAGGGTCCTCCTACCGGGGCCTCCAGCAGCCCCCAGACGCCAGGAGAGGCACAGAGGGTCCTCCTACCGGGGCCTCCAGCAGCCCCGGATGCCAGGAGAGGCACAGAGGGTCCTCCTACCGGGGCCTCGCAGAGGAACCACCCTGCCAGATGTCAAGCTTCCCAACACCAGAATGACGAGAAACTTCTGCTATTTGCAGGCAACGAGCTGTGGAACTCTGTTCTGGCAGGAAGCTCACCCTCTCCGTGCCTCCAGTGTACAAGCGTCCCTGAGAACACCCTGCATGCTCGAGCACCGTGGCCGCGTCTGCAGGCAGCAGCCTCACCTGGGCTCACGCCGCGCCCTCACCCGGGCTCACGCCGCGCCCTCACCCGAGCACCTGCTCTCTCCTTGCCACCTGCCAACCCAGCAGCCTGCTTCCCCCAACCTCCTTCATCATTTTCCAACCCAGGCCGGCAGGCAGGGTCCTGGCCCTGCCACTTATTACCAGGACCCGCCCTCTGAGGCTTGGATGGTCAGGCACACTCAAGGTGGTTTGGGTGGTGTGGGGTTTTCCCTTGAAATGGATTTGATCAAGTCAATCACATCAAAGTGCTCTTAGGTGAAGAGACAAATAAAAGGTTTGGGTCAAAAGCAGGCGGGTCCAGCAGGCGGGTCCAGCAGGCGGGTCCAGCAGGCTCCCTCGGGCCTGACGGAGGAGGCTCCAGTGAGCGGTGGCATCAAGCCCTGGGGTTGGTGCAGTCGCTGGAGGGACCTCAGCACCGGAAATCATGCAGAGCAGTGTTTACAAAAAAAGACTGGAAACCTGGTGGGCGGCCTCTCTGACCAAGCCTGGGGGCTGAGGGCAGGCAGGCCCTACTCATCCACTTCCTCCAGGAAACTGGTCCCTGCCTTCCTGGCTGTTTCCTCCAGTCATCGACTTAAGCTCACAGAGGAAATGGAGTTAGAGGAAACGGAATTAGAGAAAATGGAATGAGTTAGAGGAAATGGAGCGAGAGGAAATGGGGTCAGTTAGAGAAAATGGAGTTAGAGGTCTCGCCATGAAGAGGAACAAGTCCACTCTGGGCTCAGGAGCCCTGGCTTTTCCTGTGAAACGCCACTGACGGGGAGGCCACGGCACCACTTGGAACAGGCTGGTACCTGTGGCCACGTGACTGCCATTTCAGCTGAACACTGTTTACACATTCTGCAGATTTAAGTGATTCATCCAAGCTCTCTTTCCAAGTAATTCTTGTTCCCCAGAAAGCAAATGCCTGACCACAGGTACCTAAGGCTTCTAAACAGCATAATGAAAGCACCTCCTAATCCTACCTGGGGGAGCTTCTAACGTCCGAAGGAGAGGTGGAGCCTGGGGACATGGGGATAGCAGGGCGGGACAGGGCCAGGCAGGCTCCCCACCAAGGATCAGTGCCGGGCACCACAAAAACAGGAGGGTCAGTACCCGGGATGGGCCTGGAGAAGGCGTCTGCAGCAGCTGAGGAAGGGGCAGCCTGGCATGGCGCCTCCGGGGAGGGTGCTGGGGGCAGAGGGGTCCCCCAGGCAGAGCCGGGATCCCATGGACTCCAGAGGCTGCTCCATTTCCCACTCTCCTCCTGCCGCTCCTGAGAGCCCCCTGAAGCTGTTTTCTTGATGTCTCTGAGAAGCTGTGTCCACGGGCTACTTGTCCCAGACCCCTCTCCCCAGGTGAGCTCAGTATTCTAACATGGTGAGTGGGAATCAGCTTTGGGGTTTCAGTTTTCCCTAACGCTAAGTGGCTGCTTCCTAGGCCGTGGCTGGTGGAGCTAAGAAGGCTACAAACCTCTCAGGAAGAGGTGGGCACTGGCAGGCCCACCGAGGGGCCAGGGCGGTGGCTGTGGCGCCATGGTACCGATGGCACCGCGTGATGCTGAGGCTCTTCCTGCATCCGCTGCAGGTGGGGGAGGGGTTGTCCCAGGAGGTTGGGAACCCCCTGCGCCCTGTGACTGTCAGGTGTTGGTGGATGGGCAGGGGCACCCAGCCCACTGTCTTCCTGGGGACGGAGCACTTACCATGCCACACTCGCAAGGATGCTTGTTCTCCCATCTAAAGTCAGAACATGGCCACAGGGCTAAGCACGCAGTTGGTGACTGCAGGACGGCCCATTGGCAATGGCTGCCACCCCTCAGCTGCTTCACGCTGGCTGGAACGTCGCTGGGCATGGAGGAGCAGATGGGCTGGGGTGCCGTCTGAGTCCTTGCCACTGTGGACATCTGTTTTCTGATGGTCGCACACAAGCAATCATTCTGACGAGGTCTGGAATTCTTGGCTGGAGAATTCATACAGAGCCTGGAGATGCTGCTCCTGAGTGGCCGAGAACCTGTGGCCACGAACCTGTGGCCACGCAGACTCTCCCGTGGCCTATAACCAAGGATCTTAGCACTTTGCCTGGCTACTCTCA